AGAATTTGGATGTTGGTCCTCTTGAAGTTGTCCCAGAGGCTCCTTACACTGTCTTCATATTTTTGGATTCTTTTTTTCTTCTCTTTCCTGATTGGGTGTTTTTTGCTTCCTCATATTCCAAATCGTTGATTTGGTTCTTGGAATCCTCTGCTCTACTGTTGGATCCCTGTAAATTATTCTTTACTTCAGTTAGTGTATGCTTAATTTCTGACTGGTCCTTTTTCATGTCTTTCACATTCTCGCTAAGATCCTTGAAAGTCTCACTAAGTCCCTTTGCACTCTCGTTTATTTTCTTGAAGCTCTCATTAAGTCCCTTGAAGTTCTCATTAAGACCCTTGTGTAACCTTATAACCATTGTTTTGAACGCTGTATCTAGTAGTTTGCTTGCTTCCATTTTTTTCATTTGTAACACATTTCTTTGTCTCTGCATTTTGGCTGCTTCCCTGGGTTTGTTTCTGTGTATTAGGTAGAGCTGTTATGTCTCCTGGAATTGGTAGAGTGTCCTGAAGGCCCAGTGGCTCAGTCTCCTCAGTCACCTGAGCTGGGTACTCTAAGTGTGCCTCTGTGTGGGCTGTATGCACAGTCTTGTAGTTGAGCCTTGGTTCGGGTTGGCATCACTGGGAAGAATTGACCTCCAGGCCAGTTGGCTGTGAGGACCAGCTGTGTCTACAGTGGAAGAGCTGCTTTGCAGGAGACATCCCTATGGAGCAGGACTTGCTTCAGCGGGGCTTTGGTGCTTACTGAGTCTTTTCCTTGAGTGTGTCACGTGTGAAATGGTAGAGTTGTAATCTGGTATGCTTTGAAGCTATCACCAGGTGCACTGGCTCTGGGGCCTTCCAGGAGGAGCAAAGTCAGCCACTGCTTGCGGCCATCTGGCAGGAGCTACAGAGAGATCTGCAGGTGGCTGCTACCTGTATTGGGCTAGGAAGTGGCAGATGAGGCCCAGCTGTGAAGGAAGGCAGGCTGGTGCTCGTGCCAGGTCTTGGGCCTTTTATTGGTAGGTTTGGGGCACACTGATGCCAGCTGCTACTTTTTTGAGAGATTTTAGCGAAGTCTGAAGCCTGAACTAGGATAGGCCATGGAAAAGCTGCTACAAACAGCTTGGTGGGGGTGAAAATTGGATGGGGTCTCAGGGAATCACCAGGGTAGAGCAAACTGTGGGCCATGCTGATAGAAACTCAGATATGGCTGCCAGTCAGCTCTCATTGGGGGAGGTTCCAGCACAGGAACAATGACCCTTGTGAGCACCCCTGTCTGGGAGAAAGCTGCCCCTGGGTTTCTACCCCAATGCCACAGTCCAGTTCCCCCCCAACCCCCAACCGTATGTCTCTGGATTCCCCCAAAGCCACCACCTGAAGCTCAGAGGAAGCGAAATCCTTGTAAGTTCATGGGCAGGCCCTTTAAGAGGAACACCTGGGACTCCAACAGCCTCTGTGTCACTCAGCCACAATCCCTGTGGGTTTTATAGCCTGAAGTTATGGGGACTTCTCTTCCTAGCTCCGGAACCCTGGGCTGAGAATCTGATGTGGGGCTGGGACCCCTTGCTTCTTATGGGAGGCCTTAGAGCAGTGGTTCTCAACCTTGGCTGCACATTAGAATCACCTGGGAATCTTTTTAAAATCCTGATTTCTGGGCCCCATCCTCCAGAAATTCTGTTTCTTTGTTATGGGGTGGGGCCACAACATTAGTAACAAAGAAACAGAATTTCCGGAGGATGAGGCCCAGAAATCAGGATTTTAACAAGATTCCCAGGTGATTCTAATGTGCAGCCAAGGTTGAGAACCACTGCCTTAGAGATATCCCTCCTGATTAAAAAATCACCACACGTGGGTGTCGGACCAGCCTGTTCTGAGCCTCCATCCCTCCTACCAGTCTCAATGTGCTTTCTTCTTTACTTCTCTAGTTGCAGGACTTCCATTCAGCCAGATTTCAGGTGGTTCTGAATGATGGTTGTTCCGGATTTTAGTTGTAATTTTGATGTGGTTGTGGGAGGTGGCAAGTACATTTGTTTACACACGCCATCCATATATCTCTATGAATCCCTCCTGCCTTATTTTGAACAAGCCCTCCATGTTCCCTCTTCTTCACACCTTCCACGCCATCTCTCTGCAGATTCGTGTTTCTTGTGCTGGCACACTTTGACCTGGAGCTGGTCAACCCCAACGTGGAGATCCCTGAGTTTGACCTCAGCAGGTACGGCTTCGGGCTGATGCAGCCAGAACACGATGTGCCCATCCGTTACCGCATCCGGCCGTGAACAGACCGGGCTCCACACGCTTGCCCCCACCCAGCCTACACCTGGATCGCCCAACTTTCGGTGTCCACATCTGGCCTGGGTGCACAGCTTCAAACACCCAACAGTATCAGCTTCAGCATTTTACTGCTTTTTACCTGGAAGGCTGGTTGGGGGAAGAGGGAAGAAAGGAAACTGAGAGAGGAAGGTTTAGACCAAAATGAGACTCTTTCTGCACCTGCTCACCTTGCTCCCCTCACCTTATGACACCCACAAAAGTTAGGGCAAACGGGGCAGAATAGGAGTCCCGACTGCTGTGCCCCAACTCCCAGAGGGGCCACTGTCCAAGCCCTTGACAATGGTGTGGTTGAGGCCTTAACCATTCAAAGCAGATGCTGGCCTTAAAAAGGCCATTTGAGACCTAGCAGTGTGTCCCTTGAAATAAGCTGTTCCCCAAATTATTCTCTTTTTTTTAATCTGCTAAATCTTTTTAAAAAATATATTTTATTGATTTTTTTACAGAGAGGAAGGGAGAGGGACAGAGAGTCAGAAACATTGATGAGAGAGAAACATTGATCCGCTGCCTCCTACACACCTCCTACTGGGGATGTGCCCGCAACCAAGGTACATGCCCTTGCCCGGAATCGAACCTGGGACCTTTCAGTCTGCAGGCCAATGCTCTATCCATTGAGCCAAACCAGTTCGGGCCCCAAATTATTCTTAAACTAGCTGAAGCCAAAGGAGTCCTTAGACCTGTTTCTGGTTCCCTCATCTCTCCATTCACAAGATCCTTGAGAAGTGCAGGAGGGTTTCCAAAGCTGATACATCCACGATTCAGATCATGAGCACCCTCTAGACCAGCGGTTCTCAACCTGTGGGTCACGTCCCTTTTGGCGGTCGATCAACCCTTTCACAGGGGTCGCCTAAGACCATCCTGCATATCAGATATTTACATTACGATTCATAACAGTAACAACATTACAGTGATGAAGTAGCAACGAAAATAATTTTATGGTTGGGTTACAACATGAGGAACTGCATTTAAAGGGCCAGAAGGTTGAGAACCACTGCTCTAGACACTGGGCTTGGAGCAGTGGAGCTCGCTGTTCTAGAGTTACGGGCTCCAGATGAGACAAGCCTTGTTAATGCTGAGACTGAAGTCGGGAATAAGAGAGTCACAGGCCCCACAGGACATCCTGATGGAAGGAAGCAGCCAGGCTCCTCGGACTGGGCAAGGCAAAAACAGAGGAGGCTTTGGTTTCCTTTAGCTCAGAAATTCCAGCTGTGGGCATGATGCAGTCTGCACACCTGTTTTATAGATATAAATTGTTTCCATATCATCTTTGGGAGAGTTGATTCAAAATGTCCAGCTTCAGCTTCTCTTGAAAACTTGGAAAAACTGGGCACCCTGGGCCCTTGTTCCCAAGGGCAACCACTGGCCAGGGTTGAGAAGCAGCCACCTCCCTTTTCCAGGATGTGTGCTCTGGGTCACCAGGGTTTCTCCTTGGTGGAACTTTTTCTCTCTGCTTCTCCATTCCTTGTGCCTCCTGGCCCATGAAGGCATTGGAGCTTGAGAACCCTGTTCTAACTCTTAGAAGTGATCTTTTAGGAGGTGGTAGGAACCTGCTAATGGTTCTTAGGCCAATGGTCCATCTTCCTGTGTTCACCACCCTTCCAACAAGCAGAGCAATGGTGAAAACTTGCCTTTGCATCAGTTTGGGGATGTGGGGAAGAGGAGCTCAAAGAGAAAAAATTGCCTAGAAACCTTTAATACGATGGTGAGCATTGTTAATATTAGATTCTGTTTATTGAGGACTCTCTAAATGTCTGTGACAGGCACAATGGACATCGTATTTCTATTTCTCACATCTCTGCAAAGAGGGGATGGTTAAACCTTTTTATAGATGAGGAAACAGGTTCAGAGAGGTGAGGTGACTGCCAGGGTCACACAACCCATAAGCTAGTAGAATTCAGCAAACAGACTTATTGTCCCAATGGCAAATGCATTCCTTAGGCTCAAGGGGATGATGGAGGTACAGCTCTGTTTGGCATCAGAGCCAGAGGCATGCATGGCCGGATGCATCTTATGAGATGCAGACACACAGAGCTAAGTTACTTTAGCTTTAGCTGAAAGAGAAGAGAGGGCCTGAGATTTCCGAATGTGTCGGGAGCTAGTCTCTTAGAGCAGCACTGGGGCTTGGGGGCTTCCCTGGCCCTCAGCCTCCAGGCGCCCCCAGGATTCCCAGACAGATACTGTGATTGGCAAGACGCAGGATATCCCCAGGGAAACCCATCTTCATGCCTGGGTGACCCCTGCTGCCGCCTGCTTCTTAAGCCTGCTTCTTAACTCCACAGGAAATCAGGCCTGGCAGCCTCCTGTGGGAGGATGGAGCCGGTTTCCACGGCAACCCTCAGCTGCCTCATCCTAGTTTGGAAGGGAAGGAAGAAGGCCTGCAGAAATAGCAGGAAGATCTCTCTGTGAGGCTGCACCCTGGTGGGGGAAAGCCCTTGTGACTCCCCTCTTCCAAATCAGGGACGCTTTGTCACTGAGACAAGATTCTCACCTATGTTTTTTTTTTTTAAAAGGCCAATTTTCTTTAAAGGTGGTGCACCTCCTTGAAGCCACAATCATTAGGAAGAGACAAATCTCCCACCAGGCAGCTCCAGCTGGTACCAGAGGTACTGAAGTACAGCTTAGGAGACAATGATTTAAGCCCTCCCTTGTTTTAATCTTTATTTTTCTTTTTCTTTTAAAAAATATAAAGAAGAGCGAGAGATGAGCGGGTTAGCTCCTGGCTACAGATTATCTAGGAAGGTACCCAGTTGTCATTGTATTTCTTCATTCCTTGCTTTAGAATCACAAAATTGCAGGACATATGTTAGAAACAGTCTTAGGTTGACCTAATGAAGTGTTTCTTAACATCATTATCATTATTATTTTTTTTGGCTATATTTTATATTGTTGTTTACCAGATATTTTCCTTGAAACAGACTCATTTTTTTTAAGACTTATAGTTGTTTGAAAAGGTAACTTTTTTTTTTATTGCTGCCGGTAATGGACAACATATATCACTCGTTGTCAAGAATAGAAAGTGACTGTGAAAAATAAATTCGATGGAAGGGGGTCTCTATGCTGGTGTGGCTGATGCTCGGGGCTTGAGATCTGTCACTTCTCTGTTGCAAAGTGAGAAAAGCAAGTATTTGAGTGGCATTAGAGTCAGGTCAGCACCACCCGAGACTTCCTCCCTGACCATCACTGGGAGAAAAGGACAGAGAAGGGAGACAGCGTCTCACCACGAGGGTCACCTGTGCAGTACACCTGGCCCGAGTGCCTCCCAGGACCTCCTACCATCAGTGACCGAGCACACTGAGCTGGTGACACCCACCTGCCCATTCTTCGGTTGAGAGCTGAAGTGTCTTACCAGATTCATTGATGTTGATGTGTATTTTTTAAATAAACAGTGTTTCGTGCCTTGCTGTTTAAGTAAAGAATTCTATTTTCATATAATATTGTCGAATGGAAACATGCTGATATATATTAAACCATCCTTGTTTGTGAAACTGCCTCTGAGTGTGATTCACAATGAGGGGCGGCTGTGTCCGGAATGGCAGAGTTATTTAGCTTCTAGGAAGGGAGCACAGAGCACCTTAGAATCAAGTCATACCTCCAGCTACCCTCCAGGCGTGTATTATTATCTCCATTTGTACAGGGGAAGAAGTCGAGGGTCAGAGAGGGGAAGTGGCTTGCCCAAGATCACATGACTAATAAATAGCAGATGTGGGATTCACGTGCGGGCCTCTCTGCCTCTTGAGACCGAGCTCAGGATCTTCCCCTCACTGATCCTCCTGGTGGCACAGGACAGAGCAGCCACAGAGGACTTTGGGGTGGAGGCTCACAACCCCAAAGCAAAAAAAATCTCAAAAATTCACTAGATGTTCTTTACCCGTCAGTGTATGTAGGCATTTATTTAATTTTTTTTTTTAAAGGGCCCTAGCCGGTTTGGCTCAATGGATAGAGTGTTGGCCTGCCAACTGAAGGATCCTGGGTTGGATTCCGGTCAAGAGCACATGCTGGGTTTGCGGGCTCAATCCCCCGTAGGGGGCATGCAGGAAGC